AAGTTCATTTGTGTTCTTTTTTTTAGATTCCACATATAAGTGATATCCTACAATAGTTGTCTTTCTCTCTGTGACGTAGTCCACTTAGTATGATGCTCTCTTGGCCCATCCACGTTGCCGCAAATGGCATTGTTTCATTCTTTTTTAAGAAACCTCCAAACTGTTCCATAGAAGGCTCACTTATCTTGAAGTAAATGGAGCTGAAGCCTCATGTGCATCTGCCCCATCAAAGCTCTGTAAGGGGCCCCAGCATACAATTCACACATCAGACAATTCAGCCATTCAAAGTATCCAGTTCAATGGTTTTTAGAATATTTGCAGCCTTGTGCAACCATCACCATAATCAATTTTAGAACATTGTCATCACTCACAAGAGAAATCTGTATGACTGGATAAAGAAGTTGTGGTATATTTATACCATAAAAAAAGAATAAAATAATACCATTTGCAGTAACATGGATGGACCTGGTGTCATCACTTTGAATGAAGTAATCCAGAAAGAGAAAGAAAAATACCAAAAGATATCACTCATATGTGGAACCTAAAAAGGAAAAAGAGGACAATAATGAACTCATCTACAAAATAGAAACAGACTTACAGACATAGTAAACAATCTTATGGTTACCAGGGGGAAGGGTTAGGATAAATCTGGGAGTTTGAGATTTGCAGATGTTAACCACCATATAAAAAATAGACAAAAAACAAATCTCTTCTGTTTAGCACCGGGGACTATATTTGGTATCTTGTAATAACCTTTAATGAAAAAGAATATGAAAATGAATATATGGATGTATGACTGGGGCGTGATGCTGCACACCAGAAATTGACACATTGTAACTGACTATACTTCAATTAAAAAAAATAGAAATCTGTATCCTTCAGTTACCATCCCATAATTCCCCATTTCTCCCCAGCCATAGACCATCACTCACCTACTTTCCGCCTCTAGAGATTCATCTACTCTGGACATTTCTTATAGGTGGAATCACATAACATGTGGTCTTTTGTGACCAACTTCTGCTACACAATGTCTTCAAGATTCATTCATGTTGTAGCAGTGTCAAAACTCCATTCCTTATTGTGATCGGATAATACTCTATTGTTGTACATTTTGCATAGCCATTTATCCATTTATGGAAACCTGGGCTGTTTCCACTTTTAGGCTAGTAAAAATAATGCTGCCAAAAACACTCACGTGTAAGTTTTCAGGTGGCCCTAAGCTTTCCATTCTCTTGGGCAAAGACCTGGGAGTGGAATGGCTGGGTGGTGTGCCAACTTTTTAACTTTTTAAGGAAGTTCCAGAATGTTTTCCAATCTCCTTGTGTGTTTTATGCATGCACGCATGTGCACATGTAACATATTTCCATTTGTCTGCTTATCAAACGTGTTTATTTCTGCCTGGGCTGTCTTCTGCTTGTTCTCGTGACTTCCCAAAGACGCAATTTTCCACTCAGAATTTTGTATTCTTTTTCTTAAAGAAGGCCCCTAAATTATACAGGTGTCAGAATTGGGGGCAGGGTGTGTACGTTCACGGCTGGGACGAGAGGGAACGTGAGTGGGTACAGACAGCTCGCCTGCCATCGGGATAAAAAGGGACATCATTAACACTTCCCTCCGCCAGCAGCGATGGTGACAGGAAGGGCAGCCACAAAAATGTGTCACCCAATCCACACTCTTTGGAGGGTGAAGGGTGCTGGATGGGTACGGTTAATCGTTACTTGTCTCAGTAGCATAAACCAGGACTGTCCCCAGCATACCAGGACATGGGGTCACCCAGCCATAGGGGATTCAAGCTAAGGAGTGAATGAGGACCTACTGGCACTTTGTCCAAAGGCATAGCTCTCCCGTCCCCACCCCCATGTCGGCCCCTCCTGGAGCCGCTATGGCTCTTACTGCGAACGTGCTGCTCAGTCTCTCCGTGTATCTCCCCAGCAGTCTCCTTGCCTCCACCTTCACCCACCTCCTCTAGCCTCTCTCCTCACCCCCCTGGTTTCAGCAGAGCCCAGGATGTCTTTGGAGGGGGCCGTGGTGTGAAGGAGTCTAGATGTCGAGGCGATGCAACGTGGTGCGCATGAAAGAGGCACTGATAGTGGAGGGTGGGCGGAGATTTGTGGAGCCAATAGGATGAGTCTTCAGGGAGGCGGCCCTAGAACAGAAATGGGGGCTCTTAGGCAGTGTGTCCTGCAGGAGCAGGGACAAGGTACAGAAGGAAGATCCTGCTGGACGTCAGTGGCTGGACCAAGACATTCGACCTTTTTACTGCAGGCAGTGGGGAGTCTCCGAGGGGACTGGAATAGGCAGGGGTGACGTGCTCCAGCTGCAGTGTAAGGGGCAGAGGAGGGGGCACTTGTTTCTCCCACAGGAAAGGGCTCAGCTCAAGACCTGAGGTCAAGCCAGGGCACCCTCCTGACCTGGAGGGCAGGGAAGGTGGCCAGGTCTGGCCAAGCATCCCAGGATTGAGCGCCATACAACCTGGGTCCTGAAAGGTGGGCTCCATCATATCCACCTTTCAGGTGAGGAAACTGAGGCTCAGAGAGGTGCCTCCCCGAAGGTGTGCAGCCATTAGTGGCAGGTCCAGGCCAGGACATGGTCTGACTGACCCCAAAGCCTTGTTTTCTCCTCTATGCTGTGCCACCCCGAGGTCCCTGGAACTCAAAGTACAATGTAGGGGCAGAGGCACCATCAGAGACCCTCTACAGGTGGACACTGGGTCCTTGCATTCGGCCTTAGGGGCCCATTCTGTCAAAGGAGGGCTTTTTACTACAGCAGACATGGCAAATCGATTTCAACTCCTGAGCCAACTGGGATCAGCAGGAGATAGCTGCCTGGAAATAGTGTGCTGGGGAGAACTCCGGCAGGAAAGAGCCTTGCGGTTGAACAGAAAATTTGCTGCGGGCTCCGGATGAGCAGTGGGAAGCGGTGGCATGTATGTTGGCTTAGAGATCATTGAAACCATCCTCCTCCACCACCCCATTTTAGAGACGAGAAAAACTGAGGCCAGGGGGAACAGTGGCAGATGCAGAATCAGGCCTCCCAGATGAGCCCTGACATCTTGTCCCTTCTTCTCTCCCACCCACAGGCTCCGAGCCCAAGCCATGTGTCCAGCCCTTTGACTCTGAAGCTGCAGACTCGGCCACCAAGAGCAGCAGGGGAGCCTGGAGGCCTGAGCACCCAGACTTCTCCGCCATGGGGGATGAGCAGGCAGGTGTCTGTCTGCTGAGACAGGCAAGAGCTGATGTCGCCAATGGCAGCAAGTACACTTTATTTAGCACTTGCATTTTACCAGGCACTTTGTGTGCATTATTTTGGGGAACCCTCATTAAAACCTGGCGGAGCAGGTTACTATCTCATTTTACATCTGAGGAAATGAATCCTTCCTGGAACAAAAGAGGGAAGGTGGGATGAGTGGGGGAAGAGTTGGTGGATGGATGGAAGGAAGGACTGACAGAAGGGATGGATGGATGGATGGGTGAGTGGATGTAAGGAAGAAACAGTGAAGGGAAGGAAGTGAGGAATGGATGGATAGAAGGGTGGTTAAATGGGTGCATGGGTGGGTAGGTGGATGAATGAAAAGGGAAGAAAAAGCTCCCATGGGGAGCTCTGAGCTAGAACAGCCCTGCGGGGTGGTCCCAGACCAGGCTGAGGTGGCCAGGTCATTACTTCCCCACATCAATCAGTTATGGCCCATGGGCTGCCCAGGAAGGGATGTGACTTCCCAGAAGGGGGCTGACAGCTGACAGCCATCTGCTGACAGCCCTCCCAGCCTCTGGGACAGCATGTCCTCACTCATTTTACCTGCACAGCAATCCTACAAGAAGGCAGCATTACACCCATTTTAGAGATGAGAAAACTGAGGCTCAGAGAGGGTTAGGAACTTGCCTGGGGTCACAGTAAGCTGATAAAAGCTTGCAGAGATACAAACCTTAATTAAGGCCTTTCTATCATTCAAGCCAAACCATCTGCCCCCGTTATTTGCTGTTTTATTTGAAACCAATTCCCTTTTTACATGATGAAATGGAATCAATATGCTTGAAGTTGCTTTGGTGTGCGATTTTTTCCCAATATACAATGAGATAAATAGCTATTTAGATTTTTTTTTTAATGTTTATCCCTGTACTATCTAAATCTGCACGCGGTAAGACTTTCTGCAGAGTGGGAATTCCTGGGGCGTCTCGCCTCTGGGTCTGCCAGGTCGGGGTTGGGGGGAAACTCATCCCCCAAGTTTCCCCAGGGTCCAGGCAGCAGGATTCTGGATTCATTGCATCCTCTCTGGGGTGTCGGGGCCAGCATAAGATGTTTAGTCAGATGCCTGGAAAGGCCCCCAATGGGCAGGCTCCCATTTCTCACCCAGGAGCTGTTGGAGGAAAGGGACGAGCTCGCCAGCAAAGGATGAAGCCACGTCCCCACCCCCTCCCTGTGCCTGCTGCAGAGAGCTGGGACAGCCTGTACCGCAGCTGCCCACCACCCCTCCACTCAAAGCCCTGGCCGGGTTCCCACTTCTGCCTCCTGTGAGGGAGGCCAGATACGGGAGAAGGGGTGGGGATGGCCAGCCCAGGCCAAGAGGCTGTCCTGACGTGTTTATATTTACAGGCAGATAAAAACCAGAGACACGAGGAAACCTTTGGGGCCATGGCAGAGGAGACAGGAGTCAGTAGAGGTTGTCCATGCACCAGCGATGGGTTGGAGTGATGTGGGGGAGGCTGCCGCTGAAGTCACAGGAGGGCCAGGGGAACCAGGGCCAGAGGTGTGGGTATTTGGACAGAGACTGAAGAAGAGAGATCCTTGTATATGAAAGACACAGGACGCAGCAGCAGGCAGAGAGGGATTAGCCAGGGACCTGGGAGGGAAACAAGATTAGAGGATGCAAAGGTGGGATGCAAGAAGGGGGCACTGGAAAACAGTGGGCAGAGGCTCCAAAAATCAATCAGAGAGTTGCAGTAAGATCCAGCAACCCAGCTGCTGGGGATCTACCCAAAAGAGGTGAAGGCAGGGACTCAGACACACGTCTTTCCGTGTTCACAGCAGCATTCTCCACGAGAGCCAAAAGGTGAAGGCAGCTCAGGTGTCCATCAGAGAGTGAATGGATAAACAAAATGTGGTTTTGTTTATAGCCATGCCATATGGTCCATCCATACGATGGAATGTTACCCAGCCTTCAAAAGGAAGGCAATTCTGACACCTGCTAGAATTCGGATGAACTTGAAAACATTATGCTAAGTGAAATAAACTAGTCACAAAAGGACAAATGTGGTGCAATTCCACTAACATGGAATGTGCCCTAGAACAGGCACATTCAGTGAGACAGTAGATTTGAGGGTACCAGGAGCTGGCGGAGGAGAGAACGGAGTGGGTGGGTAAGGACCTTCTTTGGAGGATGATAAAAAGAAAAAAGTTCTGGAGATGGATGGTGGTGATGTTTGCATCACAGTGTGAATGTCCTTAATGCCACTGGATTGTACACTTAAGAATGGTTAAAATGGTGGATTTTGTGTTAGGTATATTTTACTATAATAAAAAACGCAGGAGTCAAAACTATGGAGAACTTCAAGGCAGAGACCCTGCATAGCCCTTATAACGCCCCTACTCACCAAGCCTTAGCAGGAACCTCCCTCCCCTTAGAAAGACTGGCCATGACCAGCCAAATGGTCCCGGGGGACGCTTGCAAAATTGAGCAAATAAAATTCCAGGACACACAGTCAGACTTGAATGTCAAATATTGCAATGTTTGGAATACGCTTATACTAGAAAAAAAATTAGTTGTTTACCTGAAACTCGAATTTAACTTGGAATCCTGCATTTTCTCTGGCAACGGTACCCTAGAGCAGGAAGGTGGGCGTCTTTTGTAGAGTTTATGAAGGGGGTCAGGTCCGTTCCGTGGGCCCTTCAGTCCACCATTTGGGACAGTCCGTCAAAGGCTGCCTGAGAGCACATAGATGCACGGGGCCACATCTCAGGGTTGGTTTTGCATGGACCAGTAGGAGAGGCCCAGACACCTACCGACTGAACCCTATCTGAGGACACTGCTAACAAAGACCAGGAAAGGGACAGTCCCTGTCCTGCAGATCCTGACAGCCCAAAGGAGGGACACCTTGTCTAGACTGAAGGAGTCAGGAAGGCAGCTTGGAGGGCACACCCAAGCTGGGTTTTGAAGGATGAATAGGAGTTCACCAGGCCACCTCTGGGTGGCCAGGGAGAAGAAGTTCTCCAAGGAGAGGAAAAGGCAGGTGCCCTAGCTGGAGGGGGGAAAAGAGACAAATAGAATGGAAGGGAGAGAGAAGGGAAAGGTGAAGGAAGCAGAGGGAAAAGAAACAGAGGAGGAAGAGAGTGAAAAAGAGCATAAAGCTGGGAACCAGACAGATCTGAGCTTGAGGCTGGCTGCCTGTGTGGCCCAGACAGGTCCTTTTTCTTCCCTGAGCCTCAGTCTCCTGATCTGGAAAGTGGGATAACAACGCCCCCTGGTGGAGCTGCCGTGCAATTAGGGATACCGCCCGTGTGGTCCTGGGTGGCGATTTGCCGATGCGCTCTGGCATCGGATGCTGCATCATGGACCGCCTCTGTGTATCCCGCGTGTCTGACAGCGCCTGGCACGTGGCTGCCCCGCGGGTGGGTGGGAGCAGGAGGCCGCAGGGGGCCAGAAGCAGGAGGCAGCCGGCCCTGGGGCCCTCTGGGCTGTGCTGACGAGCTGCGGCTTCTGCTGCCGGGGAGGGGAAGGTACTGGAGGGGATTTAGGAGCTCAGAGGTTCCAGGCTACATCGGATAGAACTGAGCCGGGGGAGGTGAGCGAGGTTCAGAGTCCAATGCTGTCGGGTCTTACCTAACATTTTGACAATTTGTTTCATGGTGAATCTCCTTGCATTACTTTGAGATTTTTTCTTTTCTTTTCTTTTCTTTTCTTTTCTTTTCTTTTCTTTTCTTTTTTTAATATTGCATTAAAGTATGATTTTCTTGATTCCTGAGTTTAGGGGCAACCCCTTCAATTTTGTGCCTGGGACACTCACCTCCCCTCCACTAGTCCCGGGCTGGGAGGGAAACTTAGGGTCCGGAAGACCCGTGAGGAGACACCCCCAGCAGCCCAGGGGAAAGACCGGAGGCCCTGGCACTGCCTGAAATTCCACCAGGAACGTCAAGGATTGCCTCGCTCCGCGGAGCGCTTTTACATACTGCTTCACAGATACGATTTTTTCTTTAATTATTATTATTATTTATTTATTTTGCACGGGGAGGTAATTAAGTTTACTTTTTTTTTTTTTGGTCGGAGGTACTGGGGATTGAACCCAGGACCTTGTGCGTGCTACGCATGCGCCCTGCCCCGAGCTAGTGCTACCTCCGCCCCCCCACCCCACACACAGATGCGACGCTCAGTGAGCCTTAAAACAAGGTGCGCGAGCCGTCAGGACAGGCTATCGTGGCCGTTTCATAAGATGATCAGACAGAAACTCAGCAAGGGAGGGGGAAGCCCAGATTTCCGGTGCCTGTCAGGGGGTGAGGCCTTGAAGGCCTAGGTTAGGCACTGCGTTGAGGGGATGACCCGCCGTTCTCCCCCGCCTGTCGGGAGATGGGCTCTGAGCCCAGGCTGGACGGGAGGCGGTGGGCAGGATCTGGGTGCGGAGGGCCTCTGCTGCCCTCCTCAGTGCCTTCTCCCCCGCCTGCCTGCAGGAGGAGGCTGCTCCGGGGCTGCTCGGCGGGAGCGCGGAGGACCTCAGCCTGGACCTGGGAGCCCTTCAGGGCAGCGAGTATCTCCAGGACCTGGGCCTCGGGGTCCTTCCGCTCAGCCAGCCTGGGGAGGCCAAGGCCAGTGGCCCCCGCAGCAAAGAAGCCGGAGGAGACTCGCCCTTGTCCAGCTCGGCAGGGTCCCACGGCCTGTCTCGGAGACGCAGCTGGGAGAGGCCGCGGAGCTGCTCAGAGAGCTGGCGGAGGTCAGCCCCCAGCGCGGCCGCCTTCCGCGCACCTTCCCCCGCACCTTCC